GTGAGCAAGAGGGAGAGAGCTGTAGGGCAGAATGGCTCAACCAGAGCACGGAGCTTTAAAAGAGCACCCTGTGCGCTGGCCTTCAGGTGATGAGAGAGAATTTATTTCAGTAACCACTTGTGTACAGGAAGGCATCTGACAGCCTGGAGACGAAGCACAACCTGACCACACAGCTCCTCTCTTTCAGCATAAACATTTGTCAGTCTTCGCTGCTGCTATTATGTTCCTGGGGACTTTCTGGGGACCAGAGGTTCCTCTCTCATTAACCTCATTATCTCACCTTACTTCAGCCAGTTAGGCTTTCCTGGCAGGCTTGCAATTTCCCCTGCAAATTTCCCCGCAGAAGACCATTTTACTTGCAGTTTTGCTGCAAACAATGCAATTTAGCTGTCTACAGATATTTCCTCATGTTGACTATATTCTACTTGACTTGAAAACTGTCAGCTGTATGTCAGCACGTAGCAGGTGAGAGCGTGAGTAGGGGCAGACAGATCTAGGGGTGTGTGTCCTCTCTGGCCTCTACAGAAAAGACTTGTGCATGGACTACTGCACCCTGATACTGCATTGTGTTAATTGCATTGTACTGGTGATTAAGTTAAGGAGCCCTATGCAGCAGGGTCGAATCTATTAAATGTGTTGAACAGAAACCCAATGATCGGCTTCATGCATGCTCATGAGAGTGAGAGACAAACTGGAGAGCAGAGAAAGATGGAGAACAAAAATGGAAGAATGAGAACAAGAGGTGGAATATGAAGCAGAGCAGAAAGGGACAAGCAGAAGAGGAACTGAAGAGAGCAATGTGGACAAAGGTTAGCATAAGAAGAAAATACCAAGAAAAACAGCTGTGATGAAGCGTAGTAGGTTCTGGGATACCGGGTACCAGTAACAGCCAGACAAATTCTTGGGCATCCAGATTTCAAAATATATTGATTTTCAGGGATTTGTCTTTGAATCCTGGAAACATTTTATAAAGGTTTGAGAGTCCCAAGTAAGAATATATGTGTACACATACCTAAGAAATAATGTGGCCAACCTGAGAAATGACAGTATTTATCCTGGTGTAATATAGGCATTATTTATAGGGGGAAATTTAGTCCCCAGGAATGGGAATTCTACAGATTTTAGTGGCTGCAAAATACTTACAGGTTACATGTGTCAAAAATCTACATGAAATGCTCATGGTAAGATTAATATATGTAGTCTGAAGATAAAGAACAATAGTTATTTTCATAGATAGGTTTTTCTCTGTAATAAAATAGGTAAGTGCTTGGCAATATGACTAACAACAAACTTCAAAGCATTAGCAAAAAATGGTGGTTTTAATAAAGATTTAAAAACCACCAGCAACTCAAATAATTCTCATGCACCACTTTTTTTAGACACATTTTTTCACTTAAGTTTAAAGTGTTAAGAAAATTTCTACATATTGCACGTCAAATTTCAGCACACAGGTGAGCTGGTGACATACTATTTTACTTATAGCAACTACAATTGATACAACCAAGGCTTAAAGCAAAGTTTTATGGCTATTTTATAAACTTAGGAATGTACTCTGGGAATTTATCATGGAAACATTGGCTCAACCTGTATTTATGGAATAACTGGGGCAAGTCCTGTGATGGGGCGTAGTCCAAAATGCCCGTGCTGCTCCTGCTGAGGTACAGTTATGGCTTGGTAATGAGGAGCATGCAGGTGGCGTTAAGGAGAGGCCAGATGAGGCTGGCGAATTTGCGATCCCCTTCTGCTGCCCTCCCCCTACCCCAAGGGTGCGTGAAACCTCTAAGTACTTGGGATGATATTCTCAAAAGTCTTGCGGCACCCATTTGTCTGTGAAATTAGTAATTTAGTTGCTTACGTGACTCTGAAAACACAGTTGTTAGTAGTCAGATTGATGGGATTTAATGTGGAAAAAATAATTTTAACTCTCATTAGAAGTATTTGCGATGTTGCTTGTTCATATGATGGCTGTGTTTGTCCCAGAAAGATAAAAAAAAAAAGGATAAAACCATGATTCCTTACTGTCCGAAATAATTGGTGATTCCTTTATTTTACAGCAAGGTCTTATTAACACTTGATTTTATGGGGAGTCAAGCTCATGAAGTCTAGCAGCTGTAGGAGGGTTTTGGCTTTGGGGTTTTTTTTTTTAAATGTGTCTCTAATCCTCAGAGCTGCAATGAAAGGTTTAAAAATATGACTGGAGGATCAAAGGTCATATTTGGGATCTTAGAGGATCAAAGGAGAAAAATATGAATAACCCCACATTGTGGCATTATTGAAGTTATAAATATGCTTAAGGCAATATCATGGCAGGGGGAGGCTGATTCATGGGGGGGGTTAGGTTTAGGAGTTTGGTCATGCTGCCTTTATGTTACTTCCTAAAGCTTATTTTACATTATCCGCCATTATTCATATAAATAATCTATAAGAAGAGAAGGAATTAATTTAGATTTACAAAACTAAATGTGGAAAATAAATTATATCATTGTAGGAAACAATTCTGCATAAATAAGGGAATTGATTATATATATATATATATGATAGATTCTATTCCACCTCAAATGTTTGTTAATTTAATAAAGAACACCCAGGAGATCCGCTAACTTACAAAACCTAGTGCTAAAGTCCTTCTAAAGAAATTCTACCTTTTTTCCCTTTATTTTTTAACTTTCAAGACCATATTATCAATGAAAAAGATCATGCCAGATTTTTGATAGACATGTTTATTAGGAATTTTCTCACTTGTTGGTTCAAGGGGTCAGTTATCATTCCCATATCCCTTCGCAGCACCACTTCATTGGCAGAAGAGTTTATATAAATGGTGGGAGAAAGTGGGTGTTACAGACCCACTCCTCTTTTTTGGGGGGACTCCCAGGCTGCCAGCTTCTGGGGGAATTCTGCTTCCTCAGTCTGTGTGCTGTTAATATCCCTTTCTGACCCGGTGACAAGGTTGTTCACCCCTGCGGTCTCATTTCTGGGTCTGGTTCCTTCCATGATGTCCTTTAGGAACCTGTAGGGCAGTTACATATACCATTAAAGGACAGGGTTCTTATTTTTATTTGATCCTGTATGGTTTTAGAGAAGTGGCTACAGTCTTTATACCTGACCTAGCTTTACATCTGTTCAATCCTGAGACTTCCATAGGGGGGGAAATAAATCTGAATTATTGTATTTCTTGAAGATAGCCATTGCAATCCTGTATTTTTTCAGAACGTAAGATTTTCATGGAAAACGCTTCCCTGTCTCCCCTCAATGCTTATAAATCATTGTTTTATAGAATCCTGTAAGATTTGTTAGAGGTAATTATGGTGTAGGCTCTGTGAGTACATACCTGCACAGCTTTGAACCCAGTGAAAACTTGTGTTTGAATGATGTGATCAGAGGTCTGTGGCTCTAACAGCTTGGTCTGGTTGCCAAATTCAGAGTAAAACGGCACGGAAGAGGAGTCACTTCGAAAAAAGCTCCTATTTTGATCCAGAATGTATGGTTGTTCCTATGTGCATGAAAACCACTTGCTGTTTTAAGGCAAAGACATCGCTTTGCTGTGCAAAAATCCCAGCCCTGAAAGCCCGCCTGGCACCAGGGGTGGCACTGGCACGGTTTTGCTCTGTAGCTGCAAGCTCCCAGCGCCAGCCACAGGTGAAGCTGATCCCGAAATCTTCTCGGTTTCTGAACCTCTGTAACGCCAGAAGCGCTCGCCCGCGGGGTGCGATCTGCCCCCCTTTGCTCGGCTGAATTTGCGTTCGCGCTTGAAGGCTTTTTGGAGGGAGGGAGCAGGAAAACCGGTGTTCGAGAGCGGACTGGAGCCCTCCTGGGCTCGGAACAAGTGCCCTGGCAGCAAGGCG